ATATTGGAAGACTGTTATCATGTCTTCCCTGGTCCTTCTCTTCCCTACACTAGCCAAGCCCGGTTCCTGCAACCATTCATCGTATGTTTTAGTCTCCAGTCCCCTAATCATCCTGGTTCCTCTTCTCTGCACTTTTTCTAGAGTCCCAACCTCTTTTTTATAGTGTGGTGATGAAAACTGGATACAGTACTCTAGGTGTGGCCTTACTAAGGCTTTATAGAGTGCTATTAGTATCTCCCTTGATCTCGATTGTATCCCTCTGTTAATGCAATTTAGGATTGCATTAGCTTTTTTGGCTACTGCTCCACCCTGCTGGCTCCTATTTAGCTGGTTGTCCACTAAGACTCCAAGATCCCTCTCTCAGTTCCTGCTTTTGAGCCTGGTTTCTCCCAATCTTTGATTCTCTTCCTTCAAAATAATTAAAGGAACAGCATCCCCTCAAGTCTGTACATCGTTTTATTCTTAGAAAACTCTTTAAGGACTTTGGAAAGCTTTGATTGTTCAAAGTCTGGAAGCTTTTTGGTTTGTAACCAACTCTTAATTTTGAAAGAAGACCCTGGTTACATTAAATAAAATCCCATCGCTCCATGATCTACTACACCATCCTAATAGAAATTCATCTATTACAATAATTTGAATTTGAATTCTTTATTGTCATTTGTACGTATATACATAGTTCATCTATTACAGTAATGAGAAACTCACCCAGAGGTTTTGTGTGTAATGTTCTTGTTTGAGAGGCTCCATCAAGCTTTCTCTTCTCTTTCCACAGCACCCTGCCCAGCCTTGATGCTCCCTACCCCATGTTGGTGTTGACTGGACCGTTGGCCTGCTGGAAGCGAGAACTTTGTCACCGGCTGTGTCGGAAGTTCAACAATTATTTCAGATACAGGTATGAGTCCTACGCATTTGGGGATCTTTGGGGAGTTGGTGGAGGCAGTGTCAACTAAAAAAATACCCCTTTGGTCTTTTTACTTGCCAGCAGAAAGGGAGTGGTGGATAAGCAGTGCATTCCTTAAATGCCTCAGATAATCGCCTTGGCAGAGTTTGGGGGAGAGAAAGAAAGACTTCTGCGGCTTTTGCTGCTTTCCTTGCATGAAGCCAAAAGTCTCTCTCTCTCTCTCTCTCCCTGAGAACGGAGCTGGAGACGGTAAAGAATGATCGTTCGATAGGAAAACAGGGTGGGGAATTTTCCTGCAGACTTTTTGGGGGATTTTCCCAGGGTCTCTGGTCTGGGAGATTTAAAATGATGAGTTTGGTGGTCCCTGAGGTCCAAAAGGATGGCGACCCCTGGACCAGAAGATCTCTTGAGGTCCCTTCTGGCTCTGTCATTCTGTTACTCAGTTCAACTCTGAACGGGACCTCAGCCTTCCTCACCCCCTGTTCTCAGTTCCTTCTCTTTCTGCTTTGCTTCCTACTCAGCCCCTGTCATACCACCAGGAGCCCTTATTTCGGAGAAGAGAACAAATTAGATTACCATTACGTATCTCAGGAGGAATTTGACAAGATGGTGAACACGGTAAGGAGGGAATCCGGTCTGTTGGGAAGTAACCAAGGAAGGTTGTCATCAAATCCATCCTAGCTCACGCTCAGGATGGACAGAAGGACGAGATGTTTGGGCCTTCAGAGATCGAAGAAAGCTAGAAAGTTTGCTGTCTTGTGTGTCCCTCGTTGTCGCGTTGTCGTATGTGGGAAACACTTGGAGGATTCGAATGGGTGTCTTGTGATCTCTCAGCTGATGGGAAAGTTTGGTGCAACAAAACTGGTAGAAGAGAGTAGGACAGGAAACGGACGATGGGCCCCGTGGTGCTCTCTGAGCGTGGTTGTTTTCTTGTGCACGTTTTTTGACGTAACTAAGGTTACATCATCAGTACCAGAAGAGAGAGGGCAAACCCTTCTAGCATTGATGCTGTTACCTTAACTCGGTCCTGAAACATCTGCAAGAAAACCACCAAAGCTCAGAGGACACCAAAGAACAGGAAGGGAGTTTTGTGGAAGGGGGAGGAGGAGGAGGAGGAGGAGGAGGAGGAAGAAATGGACTGTAGGGTCCTTGGTGCTCTCTGAGCTTGGTGGTTTCCTTGCAGACCTTTCATGACCGAACTAGGTAACATCATCAGTGCTAGTAGGGGAGGAGGAAGAGGAGGAGGAGGAGGAGGAGGAAGAGGAGGAGGAGGAGGAGGAGGTGGAGGAGGAAATGGACTGTAGGGTCCTTGGTGCTCTCTGAGCTTGGTGGCTTCCTTGCAGACCTTTCATGACCCAACTAGATAACATCATCAGTGCTAGAAGGGACTGAGCAAACCCCACTCCTTTCTAGCACTGAGGACGTTACCTAATTTGGTCCTGAAATGTCTGCAAGAAAACCACCAAGCTTAGAGATCACCGAGAATCCCACAAGAGGAGGATAGCTGGTAAAATATCAAAACTCCACTGTGCTAGAATCCAAGCAGGGCTCCTTTGCAATGCCCGTCCTTGGCTGTTTGGCTTCCCCGGGGCTTCTGTTTATCTTTCTCGCCTTTTCTCATTGCAGGGGAAATTCATTGCCACTTTCAAATATAACGGCTTCTACTACGGGCTGAGCCGAGAGATCATTGAAACCATCGCTAGGGAGGGGCTGGCAACCTGCGTGCATTTAGAAATCGAGGTAGGAAGCCCCCTGGCTGCAGAAGACTTTTCAGTGCGGTTTATGCCCTTGGGTTGAAACTGTGGTCTGACCCAACGGAAGCAGGAAGGGCTGGAGAAGCAACCCAGTGGCTGAAGGTCAGACTCCTGTAGGGGAGGGAGGGAAGAGAATTGTGGGAGAAAGAAGGAAGTGGGGCTGGAAGAGTCAGCAAACTCCCGGGAACCTCATCTTAGGACAGTGTTTCTCAACTTTTAGCAACTTTGAGACAGATGGACTCCCATTCCCAGAATTCCCCAGCCAGCATGCTTTGAGATGGGTGGACTTCAACTCCCAGAATTCCCCAGTCAGAAGGCTTTGAGATGGGTGGACTTCAACTCCCAGAATTCCTTGTCCAGCATGCATTAAGATAATTGTCCCAAAGAGCTTTTTGAAAAGGCAACTGGACTTACGTGTTTTTCTTTGAAGACATGATGCTTCTCACCCAGGGAGCTTCTTCAGCTCTGGCTGGATGAGGGGAATGGAAGGATTGATATTCCCTGCAGAAACCTGGTCATTTGCGTCCTTTTTAGAGAGTCGCTGAGGCCACTTGGAGGTTTGTCTGCAATCCTCAGGGTCACCTGAATGGTGCAAATGGGTGTGGAGCCTTCTTAGAACCGCTGAAAAGATTGTCTTGTAGACTGGAGATAGATGATGTCGTCTCCCCCCCCCCTCTGTTGAGGGAGGGCTGTTCAATTGAACTTCCAAGTGGCCT